CCCCCCCCCATTCTTATCTTGTGGGCTCCTGCTTTAAACTCTCCTGGGGGAATCACCATTGAGACTCCAGTCTGCTGGATGCCAACACTCCCTTAGTTGTTGGACCAAACCTGACCTCTCACCTGCATCCCATCTCCCCTGGCACCTCAGAGCCGATCTCTCCACACCTGCCCTTCTTCTGCTTCTTCCATGACAGATGCTCTAGCCCCATCCCCAAGTGCCAGAGCCAGAAACCCAGGGGTGCTGCATAATCCTTGACTCCCCTCTCTAGGTCCTAATCTGCCCCTGCTCTGGTCATCTTCCACCTATGACTGATCAGCCTCCTGGGCTGCACACCATCATTCCTCTTCCTGCTGCAGCCACACCCGCTCCTCACCAGTACCTGAGACCCCTGCCACTGTGGTCACCCCCCTCTCCAGACCACTCATCAGCTCCTGCTTAGGGCAGCCATGCAATGGCTTGCTGTTTCTTGAAGTGGCTCTCTCTGACTCAGTCCAGCAGTCCTGCCACGAAGGTCCCAGGTCTCCTTCTGACGCAGGTTGGTTCCTCAAGGCCCATCCCACAGACCACCTCCCTGGAAGCTCTTGACAAAGCCCTAGGTAGGATTCTAGGCTGGATCCAGTGACCCTCCTCACATTCTAGGACACCTATTCTTTCTTTGTCTTGTTTCCTGATGACAGTCTGTGTCTATCCGCAGAACTGTCATGTGTCTGTGCTGAAGTGACCATGAAATGTTGATCTAGTGAATGAGAGAAGATATAAATACAGGGATCCAGTACCCAGCGGTAGGATGAATGATCATCTTTCAGCTTTGGTTGCTGCTCGGCTATGTCATCAGTCTGCCTCTTGGACTCCCACAGCAGCCCTATAGGCCCCCCATGTTCCTGTAGGAGGTGGTGGTACTCACCAGGCCAGGGTAGAGGTGGCATTGTAGCTGTTGTCTTCATTTAGCTCGTAAGTGGTGGAGTAAATCTTAAACTGGCTGTGTTTTTCTTTATTAAATTCATTCCCTGCCAGTCCTAAGACATACCATTTTCCCTGGAACTACAATGGGGGCTGATGATAGTCAGAGCCAGGAGCAGCCCCAGGGGGCCCTCCTGCTCCATCCCTGCAGGCATCTCTAGGCAGCCTAGGCCTCAACCAGAAGCCCCTCTAACTGGGCTGCTGGGACCCAGACTGGCCACACAGGCTGGGCTGAAGAAGCTAGCTGGAGCTGGAGCCATCTGGCCAGGGGGGAGCCCTTAGTGTGTCAGGGACAGGGTGACACTTGGCAAGTGGCCAGCTGGCATCCCTGAGCCTCAGTTTCTTCATCATGTAGAGGCCCTGAAGATGATCCCATCTTGCATGGGCTGCGGGGATTATGGAAGAGAGTGTGGCCCAACATAGTTGTGCTCAGCTGACCATCTTGTCAGCAAGGTTGGGTGGGGATGGGGTCATGGGGTGTGCCTTCCATCAGGGGACCCGAGGGTAGACTGAGCTAGAGCCTGAGCCCATCCTGCCTCTCCTCCCCTCTGTTCACACTCTTCTCAGGGCCTGCCTGCAGCTGCCCCTTGGGCCCCTTACCTGCTCATCCTGGAAGTCAGGCTGCAGAGGGACCCTGCGCAGAGGCGGGGCTGGGATCAGGTTTGGGGTGGAATCTTGGGCCTGGGTCTGCAAGGCCCCCAGCAGGACAAGGCCCAGCCACAGGAGACCTAAGGCCATGACTTCAGGGCCAAGGAAGCTGGCACCACTCCGGATATCAGCTGAAAGAAGAGGTGAGTGAGGAGGCTTCTGGGGGGATGCTATTTATGGTCTCTGTGGCCAATGGCTCACCCCAGGGTGGAATGACTTATCCTTTGCCAAATCCAGGAAGGGTGAGGCAATTGTCAGCAACTCATGCTGAAGATCATGGCAAGCTTTCTGCCCTTCCCCCAGGTCAGGATTATGCAAGATGAGGGGCAGGAAGGTCCAGGAGGCTGGAGGATGCATTCCCCATATCTCCACATCTCTGGCAAGGACACTGACTCCCTCCACACTCTCTTCTCCCTGTTTAGTACTTTGTGAGGACAAGGGTCTCTGATCTGGACCGGCTGCCATCTCTGACCTCCAGAAGCCTCTCGGTTGGGGCCAAGTGCAGGGTGGGGTAACGGGTGGTACCCCTTTTCTGTATCTGATGAAAGGGAGAATGCCTCATATCAACAGAGCCCATGCTGCTTTGTGGTTCTCCAAAGGGACAAGGAAAGGAGGGGAGGTGAAAGAGGAGGTTCCCGGCAGGGAAGGACAGAGTGTACCCTGTGCTGCTCTTGGAGCCCAGACACTGTCCCCCGCAGGGACCCAACCAGGCCCTGGCACAGGGTGAGACACCCTTCCCCTCCCCCATCTCCAAAGGTGGACTGGAGAGTGTTCCTGATGAGGGAGCACAAGGCAGGCTGAGGGCAGAGCACATGCTAGCATGCTCCCTGAGCCCCAGGTGGGATATGTGTAATACTCCTCAGGCACCCCTGGCTGCCCAAGAACAAAGGAAAGGAAAGAATACAAATGGTTAACTGATGGAGATCACAATCTGGCAGGATGTGAGTCTCCATCAGTGTACCTATGTCCTAGTAAATTAGGAGAAAAAGGGAATCTTATCAAAAGCCTAATCTCCAGAAACCTATAGTTTCCAGGAGCCCTATTGTCACCACCCCCCCTCCCAGTGATATGGGCAACAAAGGCAAGAAGGAAATGGCACATGGCATTAAATTTCATTATTGCCTATTGACAATTCTTTAAGAAAATATGGAGTATCCCATTTCTCCAGGAACTCCCTACTGTCTTAATGTTAATGCTTTGCTAGAGGTGAAAACAACTTTAGCCTGACAACAGTTACGCCTCTAGTAATGTACGAGTCTTCTTGAACATATGAAAATCCCTCTAGAAACTTCCTCTTAACTTTATCTCCCCCAACCCCATGGTATATTGTTACAGAACCAGGCTGGAACGCTGGTGGAAAAACCAAGTGGCACTCGGAGATCTTGGTGGATCAAAGATTTATTTAACAACTGCGGTCTCGGAGGAGACTGTTTCTCCAAAGATAGCCCTGAATGCCAGTGGGGAGGGCAATTTATAGTTATCAGCCTCCATATTTGTGTGTGTGTGTGGGGGGGGGGCGTGTTTTGCACACAGTAAACGAAAGAAGAAGAACCGGGAGGAGGGGTCTCTAAGCTAGAGACCAGAGTTTGTTTTCACTCCATTGGCCATCTTTGGCATACTTTATTCACTTCTCCAACATTCCCCCCTTGATGCCTTTAAAAAAAACTTAGTAGGCATCACCTTTCAGTTTTACAGGTTGGTACTCTTAGAAGGCTAAGATATGTGCAGTAGTTTGACGAGCAACAGTGTTTTCAATAAAATGTACCACAGCATTCAGTAT